GCTCACAGTTCGCGGTACTCCATTCATCTGGGTGCTGCAAAGATGTATCAGGACTTGAGACAGCACTACTGGTGGAGGAGGATGAAGAAAGACATAGTGGAATATGTAGCTCGGTGTCTAAATTGCCAGCAGGTAAAGTATGAGCATCAACGACCGGGTGGATTGATTCAGAAGTTGGAGATTCCAGAATGAAAATGGGAGCGGATCACTATGGACTTCATTGATAGGCTCCCACGGACTCAAAGGAAGTTCGATGCAGTTTGGGTGATTGTGGATAGATTGACCAAGTCAGCTCATTTCGTTCCTGTGGTTACTACTTACTCTTCGGAGCAGCTAGATCAGGTCTATATTCGCGAGATTGTCAGACTTCATGGCGTACCGGTATCCATCATCTCTGACTGAGGTACGCAATTTACATCACGGTTCTGGAGGGCTGTACAGCAGGAGTTAGGTACTCGAGTTGAGTTGAGCACAGCATTTCTCCCTCAGACGGACGGACAGTCTGAGCATACTATTCAGATACTGGAGGATATGCTCCGCGCTTGTGTGATAGATTTTGGGGGTGCTTGGGATCAGTTCTTGCCACTTGTGGAATTTGCTTACAACAACAAATACCAGTCGAGTATTCATATGGATCTGTATGAGGCCTTGTATGGTAGGCGGTGCTGGTCTCTAATGGGTTGGTTCGAACCGGGTGAGGCTAGGCTATTGGGTATAGACTTAGTTCAGGATGCCTTGGAAAAGGTTAAATTGATTCAGGATCGACTTCATACAATCCAATCTAGACAGAAGAGTTATGTGGATCGGAAGGTTCGTGATGTTGCATTCATGATTGGTGAGTGGGTCTTGCTCCGAGTTTTGCCTATGAAGGGTGTTATGAGGTTCGGGAAGAAAGGCAAGTTGAGCCCTAGGTATATTGGGCCTTTTGGGATTCTTGAAAGAGTTGGAGAGGTGGCTTATAGGCTTGCACTGCCACCTAATCTCTCTACAGTTCATTCGGTATTCCATGCTTCTATGCTTCGAAAATATCACGGCGATCCGTCTCATGTGTTTAGACTTCAGTTCAGTTAAGTTGGACAAGGATCTATCTTATGCTGAGGAACCAGTGGCTCTTTTGGACAAACAGGTTCGAAAGCTGAGGGAAAAGAACATTGCTTCCGTGAAGGTTCAGTAGAGGGATCATCCGGTCGAGGAGGCGACTTGGGAGACCGAGCATGATATGCGCAGCTGTTATCCTCATCTTTTCACCACTCTAGGTATAATTCTAAACTCGTTCGAGGACGAACGTTTGTTTAAGAGGGGAAGGATGTAATGACCCGGCCAGTCACTTTAAAAGCTGTATCCTTGTTCCCCTATTTACTACTCATTCTGTGCTTTAAAACTGTTATGTAACTTTCCAAGGTAGTCGATTCGGGTCCGGAAAGATTTTAGAATGAATTGGAACACTTAGTTCCAAAGTTTAGTTGGACAGGTTGGCTGGATGTCGACCTATGTGCAAATGACCCCGGAATAGAATTTTGATGATTCCAACAGCTATGTATGGTGATTTTTGACTTAAGAGCATGATCGGAATTTTATTTGGAAGTCCGTAGTTAAATTAGGCTTGAAATGGCTAAAATAGGAATTTAAATTTGGAAGTTTGACCGGGAAGTTGACTTTTTGATATCGGGGTCGGAATCCAGTTCAGAAAATTTTCATAGCTCTATTATGTCATTTATGACTTGTTTGCAAAATTTGAGGTCAATCGGACTTGATTTGATAGGTTTTGGCATCGAATGTAGAAGTTGGAAATTCTTAAGTTTCATTAAGCTTGAATTGAGGTGTGATTTGTGATTTTAGCGTTATTTGATGTGATTTGAGGATTCGACTAAGTCCGTATGATGCTTTAGGATTTGTTGGTATATTTGGTTGAGATTCCGAGGGCCTCGGGTAAGTTTCGGAAGGTTAACGGATCAGTTTTCGGACATGGGAACAACTGAAGGATTTCTGGTGTCCAGCTCTGGTTTCCTTCTTCGCGTTCGCGAGAACCGTCTCACGTTCGCGAAGGGTAACTGGGGCATGAGAGAAATTTCTCTTCGCATTCGCGAAGTGGTGATGGCAATGTTCATCACGAACGCGTGACGTAGTTCGCGTTCGCGTAGAAGGGCGAGGCCAGGTTGGGTTATTGGGCATTAAAGCTTCGCGATCGCAAAGGAGGAATCGCTTTCGCGAAGGCCAAGTTTGGTAAGTCATCGCGCCCGCGAGAGGACCCTCGCATTCGCGAAGAAGAAAGTTGGGCAGCACATTTTTGTGCTTCGCGAACGCGAGGCAAGGGCCACGTTCGCGAAGAAGAAACCACTAGACAGAATGTTTAAATTCTGAAAATGGAATTTTGACGGATTGGAGCTCGGGAAGAGGCGGTTTTTGAGAGATTTTCAGAGAAAACATCGGGGTAAGTGTTCTTAACTCAATTTTAGTTAGATTACCCGAATCCATCATTGTTTTTAACATTTAATTGGTAATTTAAGTTGGAATTTTTTTTGAAAACCCTCTTGGATAGAATTGAGGATTTGAGGGTCGAATTGTTATCAGAATTTAGTCATTTTGGTATGGTTAGACTCGTGGTTGAATGTGCGTTCATATTTCGTAACTCGCTGGATTCCAAGACGTGTGTTTGAGTTAATTTCGGATTTTTATTGAAAAATATAGTATTTTTTTATGAAATTGATTCTATAATTTTTGTTGAATGTATCGAATTAATTATGACTAGATTCGAGTTGATCGGAGTCGAAAAATTGAGGAAAAGGCATACTACTTGATTAAATTGGAGCAAGTCGAGGAAAGTGACTTGTCTAACCTTGTGTGGGGAAAATTTCCTCTAGGATTGGTATTGATGTAATAATTGTAATGTGATGAAAGTCGTGTACACGAGGTGAAGAGTCTGTACACGGGCTATATGTGAAAGATTATGTTTTTTAAAATTGTGTAGATCTCTGTTGCATATTAATTAAATTATTTTATCTTGTTATATTCTTCATCATTGATTTGATTTATATACCTTAAATTTGCTTGACCTTCTCCTGCTAATTGGTTTTACCTGTTTAGCTGAAACTTGGTTTCTTTTATTCTGTGCATTATTTGAAGGTGGAATTTCTTTAATTTAAATATTATTAATATGAAATATTTGATATTTTAAAATTGGAACTGAGGCAAAGTATTAAAAAAAATTTAAAATACTATTTTTGTTGAGTTATTTATTTTTGAATATTTTGTGAGATTTTGTACTCATTGTGATTGAGCTGTGAGCTCCCTGTTGTGAAAAATATTGTTGATGTTGTTTATTTTGGCAAATTGAATTATTTGGGCACTTGAGGTGCAAATTGTGATATATTATGATATTGATACGCATGCAGTGATATAAGGTCTGGGTGTTGAAACACATGCAGTGAGATAAGGGTGGCTTGATACACGTGGCTAGTAAGGGAACTACTAGAAGTCATGCGGTGTGATAAGGGTGGCTAAAACGCGAGATGCTATTTCGGAAAAAATATTTTTCTTTAAAAATTAAATGTGAAGGCTCCCGCGGTAATATAAGGAAATGAGATATTGTGAATTTATTTATGATTTGGGACTACGAGGCGGTACCTCGGGAGTGCCCTTGTTGATATTGATTTATGACCGCAGTTGCCTTTGATTATTTTTGTGATTTTTCTTAAAGTTGAAAAGAATTATGTTTTATTTTCACGAGTTATTATTTGCCCTTATTTTGTGTAAATAAATGGTGACATACTATTTGATTCATTTCCATTGTCACTTTATTGTTATTATATTGTTAAACATGTCACCATGTCTTTTATTATTCCATTAGGGTCTGACCTAACCTCGTCACTACTCTACCGAGGTTAGGTTTGGCACTTACTGGGTACCACTGTGGTGTACTCATACTACGCTTATGCACATCTTTTTGTGCAGATCCAGGTACATCTTATCAGACCAGGCATCAGTAAACTAGTTGTACGAGGAGACTTCGAGGTATATCTGCCAGCGTCCGCAGACTCCAGAGTCCCCTTTTATCTTACTATGTTGTCTTCCTTATTTGCTTTAGACATAGAGACATAGAGAATAAATTCTTAGAAGCTTGTGACTTATTTCTACCGGATTTTGGGAGTTGAAATTGTTATATTGTAGTTTTCATTTATTCGACTGTTAAGGATTACATTTCAGTTTTGTATTCAGTTATATGCCGCATTTATAGGCTTACCTAGTCTTAGAGACTAGGTGTCATCACGACATCCTACGGAAGAAATTTGGGATCGTGACAATTATATATTGATTATACATAATTATACATATGTAATACATAAATTATACATATATTACTGTCTATTTTTAGTTTAAGCGATGGTCATATGAAAAATTTAACGTATAAAAAATGACTGGAAGTATGAACTGGACTGTGTACTTAAGTGTTTGTTGACATGCTCGAGTCCTCTTAGTTAGAGTAATTATATTTTCTTTAACCTTTTTGGGTTGTAGCAGGAAAATCTCTAGGTGTGACTGTGCAAAGACTCTCGTGAAAAAAGTTAATTGGACTATTCTGATTGATGTCATTTCGAGTCACATAGACCTACAAGAAAATAGACCTACGACGACATTAAAAAATGTCATTTTGAGTCACATAAATGTCACAAAAGTATTTAACGACATTTATTTGATATCTATAGCAAACGTCGGAAATTTCGATGTCGGAAATTTTCCAACATTTACATTAATGTTGGCAAATAAATAGTGACATTCATATACTGACTTTTTATCAAATGTCACCAGCTTGAGTACAAAATCAATATAGTTGCAACATATAAAGAAATGTCAGCAATCTTACCCATCCTTCCTATATATACATGCAAAATGTCGGTAAATCTTCTTTTGTCAATAGCTTTTTTTCTTTATATACTTGAAGAAAGTTAATAATTCTTGTCTAATAATAACACAATCATCCATGTAATTTTGATCCTACAATGTCATACGCAACAAAAGAACTTTGAATTAAAACAAAAGAGGCACGTACACATTATTTTTGAAAATCTTACAACACCATTCAATAGTGGTTCTCAAAAATATAAAGTTTTTCCCCTGTACATCTTCAGAACAAGCTGTGCTATATAAATAAACTCCAATGCTGATTACAAAAATATTAATTCACAACAGTTCACTCGACGAGCCTTCATGTAAAGAGGCAACTGAAATCTCTGTGGCGACACGCTTTGCATAAGAGTATTCTCTTTTTGACTCCAATTTTTGCATATCAACCTGACATAAAACCAAACAATAAAAGCAACAATTAGAAGTTAAAAATATAAGGTAACAAAAAACAGTTAGCAAGCCACTTCTATAGAATTATATGGCATATGATATCACATGCAAAGTTAGAATCCGTGCAGCTTAAAAAACTTCCATAATACAAACAAAAATGAAGAATAGACTTGCTTATCACAAAGAAAAATAAAACAATAAGAAACTTCAAGTCTTCGAATGCGAGCCACAATGTAAATATGTACCATAAAGTAAGAAAATGCAAAAGGTGCTTGAACACATCTACATCTGTTTAGTTAACCTATAGAATGAGAAGTTCTCTGTCCTTTTCCTCTTCTTAATCCCTTCTAACTAAGCATGACATTTCAGTTATAGGCTTAAATGATGTTTGTTACAATCATTTGGATAGACTGATACCCTTTTTGCAAGTAAACCACAAGAATTTCTCAATGATATTGTGAAGAGGATAACCTTTGACGAGCTGGCAGACCTTGAGTATGCTCCTAACGCAACTCATTTTCAGCACCTGCACGGTAATCTTGTTAGTATTGAATTTTAGGGCTAATCAATCAAGCAAGCGTCTTGAGGTATTGATAGGTAATACAAACTAGATATTTACTTATCTCAATTTAAGGAGATGATCCTCTTGAGTGACCTGCAAATGAGAACCACAACCAACTAGAATTCATAGGCCATATTTGGTTAATGATCATGCTATAGAGGTCATTTTTCTCCTAGAAATACAGAGTAATATCCATATTCTTACTGAAAAGCAGAATGTCATCTCCTATGAGGAATCCAACATTATAAGTCGATGAGGTTAGTTATCTGGTGCTACAGTTCCAAGTTTTTCTTCCTCTGGTAAACTGATCTTGAGTATGTATGGGTCAAGGAAACATAATCATGCTTGTTTGTCTACTAAGGTTTTGGCATTATAGGTATCAATAAGTTATTCTATCATACTAAATGATTGTTCTATCGAACATAAATGTAATCTTACCCAACTAAATGCAAAAGCGTGATATTTCCTGTAAGGCATAGTTCAGTTTCTGACTTATCCAAGCAAGATTTATGTAATTTGGACCTGTAGGTCCTTTCTACACTCATCCTACCTCTATTAGCACCTATAAACCTAATCAACTAATTAAATAATTTACATGGACTAAGAAGGAGCGTAACAAGCATTAACTATAACAACATGATAGTAAAACAATCATATTAAAGATGTAAGAATAGACAAAATCCAATAGAAGAAACAATCAGCCACTGAAATGAAACAAAAGCTGTGAATACACAATCACATTAAAAGAAAAAAGGTGCAGATACTAAAGCTTTATCCCCAAAATGATTCAATTTCATCACTCCACAATAGCCATGTATCTTGAACACAAACAGAGAACTGTTAAATGCATAAATAAACCTAGCTACCACTTCCCAAGCACAACAAACTTCAGTACATCATAATAAACGAAAGGGCAATCATTTTAAAGGCAGGAAATACAATCCAGTAAACATAATAGAATGAAAATCATAAAAAGTAAATACTTAACGCACCTTAATAACCTCGATCAAAAGTCTGAGAAGTATCAGTAGTATCTGTCATGTTTAGAGTTCTAGAACAATCTAAGACCAACATGGATGCTTCCCCTTTCAATTTTTGGCGTTACACTGAGATTTGTTTATCGCTAATCGGGTGCGACTTTGAACTTCGAGAATGTGATTTGCACTCCGATCAATTTCGTGAATATGAGATGACGGCATAAATTATTTGGGTATGAGGAACAGAGGAAAGCGGAAGATTAAAGGCACGTTTTAAGAGGAAAGATTGGGGGTAGGGTTTTTAATGAAAATAGTAGACGAGGCCCATATATTTTTAGCTTAATAATTATAAATGTAAGCAAGTTTCCTTCATTAGATATAAATGTCAGTAAATACCGACTCATATAGCTACATTTCAATTAAAAGTCGCAATAACTGTGACATTTTTAATCAAATGTCATTGAATTTACCACATGTTCTAAGAAGTGTCATAAAATGATTCCTTTTCCGACATTTTTCTTATTAAATGTGGCCGTAGATCTCTAAGTGTTTGTTGATATGTTCGATTCCTCTTAGTTAGAGTAATTATATTTTCTTTGACCTTTTTGGGTTGTAGCAGGAAAATCTCTAGGTATGACTGTGCAAAGACTCTCGTGAAAAAAGTTAATTGGAGTATTCTGATTGATGTCATTCTTGAGCTTGCTCTTGAATTTTGTTAATGCAGCAACATGACTTTTTAGGTATTGCTTAATGCTCTGATCTTCGGATGTTGGATTAAAATTTTGTGCTCCTTTAGAAAATCTTTTACGATAAGATGAATTAGGGTAATTATTTTGGATAGAGATCACGACGAGTTAACTGGAATTGGTGACTTTGTGAAACCTATATCATTTGAAAACCTTTATGAGCATTTTGAGCTCTCCTTATTATTAGAAAACTATCACAAAGAGGTTGATCATCACAGTGAGTGAAGAGACTAAATTGTTCTGGTCGTCAATTTACTTATATTAAATCTTCAAGAGTTGTTTAATTAGTGCATTAGAAAAATGTTTGTGGAGAAATTATAATATTTTCATATCTAATGCTTCTCCGGTTATCAATTGTTAGGAATTCTGAAGAGCCACATGCTATCAAATTTTTCAATTAAAAGTTTATAACTTGGTAGCAATTCTAAGTCCCTTGAACGGGCATTTATAGATGTATATGATGTTAATAACTTTTTATGCAGTATTACAGTTTACTACTTTCTACTACTATAATTTATACTATCTTATTAATTATAGAAGCTTATACTTTGTTTGTCTTGAGCGAAGTTTCCTTTTTACCGGTAGATTCAAAAGGCTATTCAGCATCAGAAAGTCCATTGGCACTTTATATGAAAGTGACTGACTGTTTGGGATATACAAAATTATTTGTTATTAGATTATATATTCATATTCAAGTGTAAGTATCTTATTCTTCTAACTTTTCCTTGCCTTTTGGTTCTTTAACAGGAGATTATTTAACAATATTTCCGATGTAGCCTAAAATAGAAATACGCTTATATTTGGGGTAATTTTATATTGTTGGTACCCAATGTTAGCTATAGTTGCTGGTTTTAGTTTCAATGATCCTTTTTGACACTACTTGACAAAAAACATATAAGTAAGACCTTTTTATATGTTGTTAAAATATTGGTTGCTAAATCTTTTTAAGTTTGATCAGTCATAACTTCCTACGTCGTTATTTTCAACTCTTCTTTTCAGCTTGTGAACTCTGCTGAAGTTGAAAGAGAAATAAATGCTGCTAAAAGAATCTTTTGCCCGCGCACTCTAATTGGCTGTTTGGCCGAGCTCCAAAAATCATCTTATTTTGAGAAGTATTTTTCTAAAAAGTATTTTTTCTTAAAGTACTTTTGGTGAGAAGCAATTTGTGTTTGGCTAATTAATTTAAAAAATACTTCTGAGCAGCAATTAGTGTTTGGGTAAGTTTTTTAAAAATTGCTTCTAAGTGTATTTTTATCAAAAGTATTTTTCAAAAAAGTGCTTTTGGAGAGAAGTTATTTTTTCTACTTCTTAAAAACTGCTTTTGCTTCTTCTCAAAAGCATTTTTTTCTTCCAAAAGCTTAGCCAAAAACTTCAACTTTGAAAAAAAAGTACTTTTTTGAAAAAGAAAGTGCTTCTAAAATTGAAAAAGCTTGACCAAACAGGCTATAAGAGATCTAATTCTCTTAGAGAGTTTCACTATTTGCTCAAGGTACTAATATGTTGACAACATTAGTAGCATTTATGATTATTGGAGTTGTAGACACGTAATTTTTGGCCCTCCCTAAAATTTTAAATTTTAATGTTTTATGTTTGTTTTAGACATAATATCGCTATTTTGACTAATTTTAACTTTTTGCTTTATTTTTATCTTAAAAATAAAAAATATAAAAATATTTTCTTTTATTTTAGCTAATTGGTATTTTATCGAATTACTTTCAAATTATCTTAGTTTCCATGAAATTGAAAGATATTAATAGTCTTGACATTTTGTTTTCAAAAGATAAAATGAAAAGTTCAAAATATTTTTACTTAGTTTAGTGTGATTTTTAAGTTGCATGCTTTTATTAAATATGTTTAAATTTTTTTAATATAATATCTTTATTTCTCTTTTTAATATTTTATGTTATTCCTAGATAACTTAATCTTTTGTGAAGCTATTTTTTTAATTTCAACTTTAGAAGAAAAGAAAAAAGAAAAAAAAAAAAAAAAAAAAAAAAAAAAAAAAAAAAAAAAGAGGAAGATAACAGAAAAGAAAAAATGGAAAAAAAAGAAGAGCAAAAGGATAATATCTATATCTATAATCTATAATCTTTATAATCTATATCTATACTATATTAAAAGCACGAAACCCCTTAGCGAAATGTCGTTCGCCTTTTTTACCCCTTAAAATTGGATTTCACATTGGATGAAATTGTAATTTAAGTTAATTTTCTAATTTATAGGACTTTAAAATTAACTAAAATTTGGTCATAAAATATTTCCTTATTGAATTAGGTAAAAATACTACTAAGATTTAGGACTTTAAAATCATTAAAACTTTACCTTATATAAATCAAACAATTAGTTTATAGTATTTTTCTTTTTATGGTACACGCTAATACACGACATGGAATTCTCATGAAGCAGAAGTTGGTGGCCTGTTCTACACAATAAACAACACTAAATCGTTCCAAAAACAAAAAAAAAATGTAAGTTTAATCTTTTGATTTAATTTCCCATTAATATATTCATCCTTCAGGCAAAAGTAAATAAGAATATTTTGAGTAAGCTCATAAGCTGGATAAACTAATTTGACTCAATATTCATCCAATTAGTCAATATAATATAGTCAATATAATAAGTGCAATCTTAGTAACCACTTTACAAATATATAAAATAAGAAATTTATTTTTAATCAGAGTTGTGTATACTCTTTGTCTCACTAAATAGGAATAATATAAATTGTAATATGTAATCCGTCACGCGTAAGATGAAGTATTTTGAAAAAATATCATATGTTAAGATACAATCGAGTTATCATTTATAAGAACGATTAGTATTTGTCGAGTTGGGATGCCAAATATGACTATTAAGGCATGATTAAAATAAGAATACACGTTTTAACACTCTCATAAATTAAGTAAAATATGGATAAAACCTTTTCAATTGTTGGTAATCTATCAGACTCATATTTTGAAAACATTAATATGAAATAAACGCACGTATACTAGCCAGGTCTCATATGTAAAATCAAACAACCTCTTTATCTTCAATCAAACTTTACTCCTATAACGTTTTTGTATAATGAAACAATTAATGGGAATAAACTAAAAGAAAGAACCCCTAACCAAATGATTAATATTTATTATTTTCAGGAACTTATAATTTTTTGTTAATCTTTATTTTATAAGAGATACATCTAAGTATTATTTATTTTATTTTTTAAAAAGTTCATCTTTTTTATATAGGCTACACGCGCAAAGCGCGTACACTAAAACTAGTATATTAATGTAATGACCCGACTTATCGTTTTAAGAATATATGCCCCGTTCAGTGACTTAAAATCTTGAGCAGTCTCGCAATATGTATTATGACCCGCGTGTGTGATCGAGTTGATTTACGGATGATTCGGAGAGATTTTGGACACTTAGTCCCTGAGATGGAAGCTTAAGTCTTAGGATTTTTACCGTAGTAGGAACTATGTAAAGACGACTCCGGAATGAAATTTTGATGATTTCAATAGCTCTGTATGGTGATTATGGACTTAGGAGCGTGTCCGGAAAATTATTTGGAGGTCCGTAGAGGAATTTGGCTTGAAATGGCGAAAAAATAATTTTTTGGGAAGTTTGACCGGGGGGTTGACTTTTTGATATCGGAGCCGAAATCTGATTCTGGAAATTGGAATAGCTTCGTTATGTCAATTATGATTTGTGTGCAAAATTTGAAGTCATTCCAGATTGATTTGATGTGTTTCGGTACAAGTATAGAATTTGAAATTTTAAAATTCATTAGGCTTGAATTGGGGTATGATTCGTGGCTTTGATATTGTTTGATGTGATTTGAGGCCTCGAGCAGGTTCGTGTTATGTATTGGGACTGGTTGGTATAATTGGACGGGGTCCCGGGGGCCTCGGGTTTGATTCGGGGTGGTTCCGGATCAAGTTTGGGTGTTTTGATGTTGCTGGTTGCTGGTTCTGGTGTTGTTCTTCGCATTTGCGAGGCGCCTCTCGCGTTCGCGAAGAAGGATTTTGCTGTTAGGACTTTGAACTCCGCGTTCGCGAAGAAGGAAATTTTACTGTTCGTCGTCTCACTTTAGAGGCTCATATCTCGCAATCTATAAGGAATTTGGAGATGATCCAAAAATAAAAGTTGTAACCCTTTGTGTCTAGTTTTTCGAAAGATAAATTATTTATCATTTAGAGTTGTGTACAAAAAGTTATGGTAGATAAACTATAGGCTGTCCGGGAAGAGTTTGGAAATCTTCGTTGCACAGGGCTGACTTTGGAAGCTTATATCTTGTAATCTATAAAGAATTGGGAGATGAGAAACAAATGAAAGTTATAGCTCTTGGAGTCTAGTTTTCAGAAAGTTAAACCATTCATTATTTAGGGTTTTGTACAAAAGGTTATGACTATTATACTAAAGGCTATCGGAGAAGAGTTTGAAAATGACTTTTGAAGAATTTGTTCATCGCGAATGTGAGGGGAGTCTCACGAACGCGAAGAACAAATCCCTGGGCAGCAGAATAAAGTCCAAATTCATGTAATTCTTCCATTTTTGGACCAAGAAAGCTCGGGTGAGGCGATTTTTCGAGAGTT